TAGACGATGAGCACGTAGCTCGCCAAGCTGAGAGATTTTCTCTAGGCACGGGTTCGGAGATTGCTTGTTGCACACGTGGCCTTCATTTGCTCCCGTAGTTCTACATTCAAGCGATAATTGCAGGAGTGGTTTTGCCAGGGGATTCCCACATATTTGTTTTATATGGCAGATTACCCGATCGCGTTCGTCTAGCCCCGAAAATGCGTTCGTCTAACTGACATCTTCTACGCACATTCCGCCCTGCGAAAATATATGTGCATGAATCATTCGACACTGCGCGAAATCATATAAATATAGAAACGCCCAGGCGCATATGCACAGCCCTATATGCCCGCGCAAATTACAAGCTCAAATTATATGATCGCGCAGGTTACACACACACATTTATATGATCGCGCTGGTTACACATATGAACGTATATGACACCCAAATCATATGCACGTAGTCGTAAGGCGCTTGATAAAGCCCAAGCACAATCATAAATGAGCGTGCAAATTAGAAACATAAAATTACATATTTAGACGCATAGGGCTTTCATACGTTGACTTGTGAATGCAACTTTTAAGCATGTAGTACATAATGTATAAATATCTCTAGAGGATTTTGAAGAAATCGTACATGAGGCAACACGATAGAACAATTTTATGGGAGTGTAGCATAGTTGTTTGGGTATCAAAGTTCTTACATATATAATATTGGTATATTATATTTATTGATACAAAATTTCACAAATAGATAGTTCTATATCTTTGATGTGCACGCTCATATATGTTTGTGTTTGGGCCGAAATTAATGTTCTTGAACCTAAATGACCGCGCCTGATTGGACGCGAATTGCCAAAAAAGGCACCGCACATATAATAGACCAATCATGCACATTTTATTATCGCGGAATTATATGATTAAGCGCTCATTAGTCGCGCATTGGACCGAATATGAGCGTGCAATTACTGTTGGCATGGATGAACGTGCCAGATTTTGACAGACTTGTGCGATAAAAACATTCTGGGGATACATACCCTTGTAGGGTAATGTGCTGGGTAAAATAAAGACTGCGGGAATTCCCTGGCAAGACCACTCGAGCAATTATCGGTGAAATGTAGAACCACGCGAGCAAATGGAGACCACGTGTGCAACACCCAATCTCCAAACACGGGTTTTGGAGCAAATCTCTCTCGCCAAGCTTCTTCTGCACAAACCCTCCTGGGCTGGGCTTCAATTCAAACCATCGTTCGCTTTCGGCCAATCTCGCAAGTCTGGGCGGCTATCGCCAAAATCGTCTAAATGGGCTGTAGAATAAAACCAAGCATTGCAGGGTGTTTTATTGTAGGGTATGTTATGTACATAAAACAACCAGAAGAAATCGAGCAGGACTCTGGCTGCCCTCAGTTTTATTGCAGGTCGTTTCTGGGCGCTCTTCGCATAGAGCAGTACTCTGGCTGCTCTCTTTGCAGCTCACACTTGAGAAATCTCGGCAGCGTTTAAAACAACTGAGGAAATTGACTGTAAAGTGCCGTTTTGTCTGTTTCGTTAAGACAGAGTGTTCAACAAAACAACGAAGCCGGATGCAGCCGCGAAAAGGAGGACCAACCTGGCTGCAATGTCTTTGCGGTCGCATGTTATAGAAGGGAATAAAGTTGATGGGTTGTTTCGGGAAATGTTCAGAATTGCGTCGGGTACCATAGCAAAAATGTCCCTTTCTAGACAGTTTCTCACGTGTGTAGTGACGGTGGAACGGGTTCAAACTTTAGGTGTGGAACTTGATGGGTTCCTCTGTTCCGACACTGGCGGCATCCCCCCACCTCCGATGCCTTTTCATTTCATGCGGACAGCTCCCAACAAAACCTTGTCCTGCCCTGCAAGACTTGAAAATTTTAGCTGCTGTTTTCCCGCGCTGTCAAGGGCGGTGCCCTTTGTCCTTGTTTTTCTTGATGTCCCCTCAAGCCATGGTGATATGCCAACCAGCGTGAAGGTCCCTCCAGCATCGCTTCGAATATTGTTGAATGGTCGCATTGCATTTCTTCTCCCTCATGTACCTGTTACGTTTCAGCTGGAGCTTACCAAAGCTTACGTCAGTGATACCATTGGAACTGCTTTAAAAGGCATTATTGGCATTTGGGAAGTTACGGCGTGTACACTGGGCTACTGCCTCTCGAAACATGTGCAGGGGCAGCATGCGTTGAAACATGTGCTCTAGGTTGGTTGCTGCTGGCACCGATCCGAACCACTATACTCGTCAGTGCGTGTCCCAAAATTTCGTCTACATGCGGCTCAGTGAGACTTGTACGATTTAGATTGGTCTATCAAGTTTAGGTAAGGTTGGGATGGGTAGGTTGCAAAAACGTACTGTACTTCTTGTTCCGGGGTGGGGGGTTAGGACGTGGTGCAGATCGGGGCAACTGAGGCTGATATCCTCGATCCAAAAGTTCCGAGAAGCGCCAAGGGCTTTTTGAGGCAATCGGGGGTAATCCCTCGTTCGAAATCGAGATCCCGATCGATTGCGATCGCTTGCCACACTCTGATGCAATCGATTGCAATCGATTGCGATCGATAGATTGGGTTTGTTGGCGATATGCGCGACTCGTAACTACCGCTACCGATGTTCGTTTCTGCTAGTTGCTACAGTATATCTCGCCACATCAGTGCAAGCAGCTTGGGCGAAGGGATCCAGTTTGATTTTGCGACAAAAGGGCTACAGACATTCGCTACGTCTCGCCAACTTTGATGTGGAAGGCACGCGTGATTTGCCTGGAAGGCGCGGTTATGATACTTTTAGGTTTCGCCAAAATGGTATCGAAAGATTGCGCGGCGCGGGACGCGATCGCTGATTGCGTCAGATTGGGGCAATCACACCCGATCATTCCCGATCAGATCCAATTGGTCATCGATTGCGTGAGATTGCCCCGATCTGCACCACGTCCTTAGTTGCTTCGTTTGTGGCGGCATCGTATGGGGGGGGTACGAGTGTGCGTTTATGGTGTTTTGGCCATTAACGTTCGACCATGGTGTTTTCGGCACTTTCACCTACAAATAAACCATGTGTTTGACGCAAACTCGGTAGTGGTGTTCATATTTGTTTTTTCACGGGAAGACCCCCTCACCTGGGTCAGATGTTGACACATTCAGTTGAGGAGAGAGGGGTTTGGGAAGTTTGGAAAATGATTTTGCAGCTGAAGTGTGGGTGGGACCCTTCGCATCATGAACCCCTCAAAGGTAAGTCAGGTGTTCTCGCCGTTTCGCTATTTCGCGACCCTACTCGAATCCAGCACCGCAAGTCTCAAAGGATAATATTCGGATAACCCGGATCCCCAACCTGGCACTGCTGTGTGGTTCCCTCCCACACCTACTGTCGGAGGGTCATTACCAGCTGTAAACGCACCGCCAGGAGGACACCAGCGTTCCCAGCCCACCCACGCATTTCTTTGATCGACCCCGACGATGGAAACAGCTGTGGCGTGCAACCCCTCATGCTGAACTTGTTTGTCAGCGTCCCAAGGGAACAGCTGGTTGCTGTACACAGTCGTCCTGGCATGCCAAACCAAACCCTGCGAAGACTTTCACCTCGTTGTCGCCAATACACGCGCGGTGAGGTGATGTGTTGAGCTGAGAAAGCAAGAGGGGGAGCTAGCAAGCACAGAACCTAGTTTGAGGAGCAACGTAGTAAGAGCGAGCTTCTTCCCTTTTTAGACGACTTTGTTTCCTCTCTTGAACATGCACCAGATCAGCAAACTCAGGATCGCTGTTCGCCGCGTATGGCGAGGAAGAGGGCTAAGCGTCAGCTGGAATCTTATCAGGCCAACGGGGAGACGCTAAGACGTAATAAATCAAGTCTTTACCTTTTTCGCTGAGTTAGGGTTTCAACTCTCTAGAACATGATTCTGAGCTTATTCCTGACTCCGGTTTCCGTCCTTCTCCGCAGCTGGCGTATGCGTCCTCCTCCGCGCACCGGACCCGAACACGCCGTCGTATATAGCTCGAGTTGAGAAGATAGAAGCAGACTCCTCGAACCGCGTCACCATGCTGTGTCGCTGGTACTACCGTCCGGAGGATTCCATCGGAGGTCGAAGGCAATTCCATGGCTCGAAGGAGCTGTTTCTATCCGATCATTGCGATAGGTGTCATCCAGAGGCCGTGGAGAGCACGTGCCGAGTACATTCATTCGCAGAGTATACCACTTTATCGACAGTTGAAGAGGAGGATTTCTTTTGTCGCTTCGAGTACAAAGCATCCACAGGAACTTTCATGCCGGACCGGGTCGCCGTGTGAGTAGTATCCTCTAAATCCCTTCAAAACCGTAACTTCTGTAGCTACTTTCGTTATGTCTGGAAGCGCGGAGACTAATCACTGATGCCGCCCGTCACTGTATCTCTCGTGTTGGTGGTGACAGGTATTGCACATGCGAGATGCCCTACAACCCTGACGAGCTCATGATTCAGTGCGAGAAGTGCAGAGACTGGTACGCTTCCCCGTTCTGCTTGGCCTGGCTCAATTCATTAGCTTTCAATCCAACCCCCCTGTGTATGTCCGTTTCACAACAAGCAGCATTTCGTTTCGCTAACTGCTGACCCTCATCCGTGCAGGTTCCATCCAGCGTGCGTCAGACTTCCTGTAGAAAGAGTGCATAGCATCAGTCACTTCACGTGTCCGGAGTGCACCTAGGGTTCAGATAGATATTTCCCAAGAGTAGGTACTACTACCGGTATGTGTAGATTCTTTGTTGCTCATTGTTGGTAGTAGGTATAGCTCTGATTCCTAGCTTATATAATCTAACATGTTGTGCAGTGACTATTGGTGATTTACTGATGAAGCTGCAGATCACGTCAGCATCTTCAGACAATGAAAACCTTGCCCGATTCTCGTTACAAAATAAACGCAAGTCACTCAGAGGGGAAGGAGGACCACTCCACGGAACACCACATCCATCGACTCATTGTAGCGTACCGATATGTAAAGGTGCACGTGCCAGCGAGTGACACCCAAACTACAGCATAAGCCAGTGTGTCAAAGCCCGTACACCACATCCACCAACCTCTGCCACACAGACTGATTCGCAGAGGCAATAGGCACTGCAGCACCGTGCCCATCCGTAGTACTATGCTGCTGCCCTCGCCGCACTGGGACTGGAGTAGCAGAGAACAGCCCGCCACCCCGCCACGCAGACGCAGCCCCTGAAGCAGCCGCAACACCCCCTGGAGCACTGGCATCGGCACCAGCAGCAGCAGTTGTGAAGGGAACAGCAGGAGCAGGGGGGTATCCGAAAGTGGTACTCTCGCCTGGCAAAAAGGAGCCCGTGCGAGCAGGGCCTGTACTGCGGGATTGAGGCTGCGGCAAGGCGCCTGGGGCACCCGACATGGCAGGAGGAGGGCGCGTGGAGAAGAGGACAGAGGACGAGGTGGTGGGTGGAGGAGGGGCGGGTGCTGACGGGGGAGGGCTTGTGCTGCTGGGGAGTGTGGGGTACGGGACGGGGGGGAGAAGGAACAGATGAGAGTGCGTGGATCCGGCAATGAACAGAATTGTTAAACGCATGCAAGTGGATTATGGTACAGAGCAACAGGATTCTTTAATGCATTGATTCAGTCATGCTGAGGTTTGGTTGAGCCCTTGCACATCACCCATGCACACACTACGCCTGTGCTCATGCACCCTTGTTGTCAAGCCCCTGGAAACATCCCATCCCATGCACAACTCCATCCCAACCCCACCCCACATCTCCTCCAGGCGTAACCCATACACCATCATGCCATCCCCGACCATCATCCCCGACCATCATCCCCGACCATCATGCCATCCCGGACCATCATGCCATCCCGGACCATCATGCCATCCCGGACCATCATGCCATCCCTAACCAGCACGTAGAACAGCCGCCGTGCACTAGAAGCACACGCAGCTGTGAAGCGCGACTCACCTGGAGCCCCCCTGCATGAGCTTCACGCCTATGATGGTTCCTGCTGATATCTGCTGCCCCGACCGCCCTAGTGCCCTCTGTGCCTCCGCTGCTGTCTGGTCGCCGTGAAACCAAACAGGAGGGGGAAGCGGGGGGGATGCGGGCGAGGGGGGGGTTGGAGGAGGTGCAGGGAGGGAGAACGGAAAGGAGGGACGTTCTATTTGGTCGGTTGACATAGGGATTACTGTCTACAACTTTTCTATTTGTTTTACAAGTGAGAGAAAAGCAAAGTGGAGGGCGAGGGAGGAAGAATAAGGAGGGAAGAAAAGGAGCTTACGTGCACAAGGTCGTGGAGCCCAGACTTCCGATGTGCACATCCATTATCAATCCTTTGGAATCAATTCACAGGCAACAATCATAGACATCACGCACGCGATCACCCACGCCCCGTGCGCCATGCCCCACGCTCCACGCCCCACGCCCCACGCCCCGCGCCCTGCGCCCTGCGCCCCACGCCACACCCCCTGCGCCCCACATCCCCCTCCCCCACTCTCGGCGCACCTGGAACCTGAGATTCACCCAGTTGCCGCGTCCGGGGCACAAAACGTGCTCCACCACTCGCCCGCACCCCTCCAACTCCCGCAGCACCAGCGGTAGCTCCTCCGGGAGGAACCTGCGCCCACCCGCGGAGAGACACGCGGAGGGAGACGCGGAGGGAGACGCGGAGGGAAAAGCGGAGGGAGACGCGGCGGCAGGCGCGGAGGGAGACGCGGAGGGAGACGCGAAGGGAGACGTGGGGAGAGACGCGGCGAGAGAAACACACAGGCACACAGAAGAGGGGCAGTAAGTATGGGGACTTGTTAAAACGCCTCACGACACACTCACAGATAGAGGGGATCTAGGGTACTTCGGCCAGTCCAGAAAGCTGGTGTGATGGCAGGATGAGGTGGTGCGATTCCAAATGTTAATGATGACGCAAGTACACTATTTTAGGTGCCTCAAGTATTAGAGGGGACACGAAGGAAAGCCTTGGATCCATTTCAAGGGACGTTCACGTTTGACGTTTGAGGTTCACAAAAGGAACACAGGTACGCACCCGTACACAGTGACCCACGTTCCGCCGTCCTTCGAACTATCCCCGCCCCTCTGCCCGTCTTGCGCCTGCCCCTTGCCCCACGCGTTCGTTCCCGCCTGCTTCTGCGCCGCCTGCTGCGGCTGCACCACTCCCCGACCTTGCTCTCCTCTCCCCACTCCTTGCTCTGCCTGCGCGCCTTGCGCCGCGCCCGAAGGTCGGCCATACTGCGCACTTTCCGCGCCTCCCGCGAAACCGTTCGTCATACCCGTCTCGGTTACCTTAAACCCTTGCTGCCACTGCTGCTGCTGCCGCTGTTGTTGCTGTTGCAGCTCAGGAGAGTTAAACCTCCCCGAAACAGGGATGTTCGCGTTATAAGCAGATCCGGCTAATCCATTCATACCCGGAGTCTGCGGAGACCCGCTGCGACCGTCATAGTACCCAATACCGGGCGTCCCTGAAGCGGGGCTTCCTGTAACGGGGTTTCTAAGCGGGCCCGGAGTGCTCACGGGAACAGGGCGCAGAGGGGTAGCGGCGGGGGCGGCGGAGGGGGATTGGTGAAACTGGTCCGCCAGTGTGAGAAACGGCGGCGGCGGAGGCTCCGCAGGGGACCCCGCGCCGGAGGAAGTCCGCCAGAGCGCGGCGGCGGCGGCGGCGGCGGCCGCGGTGCTCTGCACGGGGGACCCGCGCGCGATCGCGATGGGGCTCCCCCTGCTTCCCCCCCCGGGCGTGGCGCGCAAGTCGTGGTATAGGAGGGAGGTGGACGGCGGAGCTGCGCGGCGGAAGTCCGCGTGGGGGTTGGCGGAGGGGAAATGCGAGAAGGTGGGGGAGCGGGACGACAACCCGCGGTCCATGTAGCCGTTACCGCCGGGAGCGGCGGCGGGAGGCGGGCCGAACATGCCTGTTGCGCTGGGAGCTCCGTATTGGCCGTAATCTGCTGGTGGGAAGAGCAGAGTAGTGGAAAATCACGGTGGGATTTAAAATAGTAAAAACTGCGATCCAGTGACTCGAGAATTAAAAAGAAAAGGTGTGCCCCTGAACCCGCCGCAGCGCCAAAATGCACTGAAACCCGAAGAGCTAAACCCTAGAAAAAACCGGCGAAAAAACATAAGCAAATGCTTTCGCTTGCTGTGTGTACCTCTCGAGTACGGCGACGCAGCCGAGGGATCGTCCGGCGGGAAAGAGACGGGGATCGCGGGCGATCTATTGTACGGCGATCCAGCGTTAGCGTTCGCATAAGGTCCCGTGGCGGCCGATCGGCCAAAGAGGCGCGAGGAGTAAGGATCCGGCGGCGATGCTGACAGCGGGGTTGACGGATCGGGGAAGAATAGCGACCCGCCCACCATGGCTGCTGCGAGCACGAGATGAGTGAACAGACGATAGTCGATATTCGATCTTGCAGATTCGGAATAGCGAAGTGACGAGTGTCAGGTGGGTGTGTGGAGGGAAAGCTGAATCCGTACGAATTTGGAGAAACGAGGGTGTGAACGAGTTCAAATTCGCGTTTTCCAGATCACTGAAAAAAATAAAGAAAAGGGTTCAGAATCAGGATAGCAAGATCCGCACGGTGTCACTTCGAGATGATCGGACGTGTGGGATTCAGAGAGGAGACGAAGGCGGAACGCAGACTGCGGGAATCCGCAACTGGAAAAGTATGCGTGGAACTATCGAGGCGGACGCGAAGCAAGATCGAGGTTGGAGGTGAGAATAGACCATAGATGGAGAACGGGTAGATGGGGATGGAGGCTGGGATGGAGAATGGGACGGAGCACCACAACACAACTGCCTGCCAGCCAAACTGCGGCTGCGGCTGCTGCGGCTCCTGCGGCTGCTGCGGCTCCTGCGCCTGCCTCTGACAGTTGTGGGTTGAAATCTCCCGCCACTCAGGTCGGAGTTTTCGAGGGCAAATCGCGACAATACGGGGTGTAACAGAAGCGTGGAGAGCAAGGAATTTCGTACGCGTTACTCCGTGGGTTCGGTTCGAACTGTCGAAGCTACACTTCACGAATACAATCTACAACCTCTCTCAGGATGTTCCACACCCTAGATTGTTTGCTGATGGAGAGATATGGTGACACAAATTGGAACTGGAATGCTTTCATTGCCACAGAAGCCGGTCTAGGGAAGCTTTTGTGAGTGTAACTATACATGAAACACGTATCTATTTGCATCATAGCCTCCACATAGTGCTAGCTAAATCCTAATCGGTTCAAGATTCCTCCAAGCATTCCCTTCGCCCCTCCCTCACTCTCCCCCGGCCCATTCACCCCATCACCCCCAGCACCAGCAGCAGCAGCTACCCCTTGCCCCTTCCCGAGTCTTTGCCTGACTGCTGCCACCAGCTGCGGCAGCACCTCCCCTGCCTTGCCTTCCAGCCCCACATCAGCAGACACAAACGCATCTGGGTCCAGGTTAACAGCTATCACCTTGCCGCCACGCATTCGACACATGTGCGTGAGGCTGTTGGCTGGCGCCACCTGGGGATGGGGAACGCACGTGTGTGAGAAAGCGGGGGAAAAGGGTGAATGTTGAGTGGACTAGGAAGTTGCTGCACATGTGGCACGTGTGTGTGGGGCTTGTTGGCTGGTGCTAGATAGGGATGCATGTGCGTGAGAACGCGGGACAAGGCACGAGACAAACAGGTTGGTTTGCATGCTACCTTGCAGGGTCGGCTAGGGTGTGTGGGAGGGGAACAGGAGGGGTTGGGAGGAGAGGGCAGAGATGTATGGTCGAGAAAGAGAGGGCATGACGTTGGAGAGATGGGATGGACCAAGGAGTGTAAGGAAGAGTTGGCATGCTGTGGTTGCAAAAGGCATGGCGTCGCGGATCAGGCGGAATTCTTTGAAGCCATTTGCGTTGCAGACCAAGTCAGGAAGACCTTTCAAATGATGCAGGCAAAGGTGTGACCATGAGAGAGTGGGTTGAGCAGCATGGGAGAGTGCGATTACCATGAGAGAAGTGCCAATGACTAGCAGCACATCAGCGGAAGCAGCAGCAGCAACAGCTTCAGACATGGCCGCTGCAGGCATGGGCTCTCCAAAGAGGATTACGTCCAGCTTCAGCACACCGGAGCACACTGGACACACCGGCACTGCCACTCCCTGCACAAGGGGGTTGTGTGCGGTGGTAGGTTGGGTGAGGTACATAGAGAGTGGAACGTGGTTGAGGGAAGTCGGCTAGAGGCAGATGGACAGATGGACGGAGGGATGGATTTTGGAGTCTACTGAACCGAGTGACGAACCTTATCGAGCTGCGCCACTGCGACCTCCTTGGGCACGCTGTGGGCGCATGCCATGCACGTGCATGTGCGCGTGTTGCCATGCACCTCCACCACACTCTCACTGCCCGCCTCCTGCGACATGCGGTGCGGTGGGGTGGGATGGGATGGGATGGGATGGGATGGGATGGGATGGGATGGGATGGGATGGGATGGGATGGGATGGGATGGGATGGGATGGGACGGGACGGGACGGGACGGGACGGGACGGGACGGGACGGGATGGGATGGGATGGGATGGGATGGGATGGGATGGGATGGGATGGGATGGGATGGGATGGGATGGGATGGGATGGGATGGGTGGGATGGGTGGGATGGGACGGGAGGGATGGGAAGGGACGGGACGGGACGGGACGGGAAGGGACGGGACGGGACGGGACGGGACGGGACGGGACGGGACGGGACGGGACGGGACGGGACGGGACGGGACGGGACGGGACGGGACGGGATGGGATGGGTGGGATGGGATGGGAGGGGTGGGATGGGATGGGTGGGATGGGGTGAGATGGGGTGGGTTGGGCTAACTAATGCAGCCACGTTCCCTTGCCTGGCCACACGTAATACATCCCATCCACATTCTGCCAGACGCACCCACGCACCCACGCACGCACCCACGCACCCACCCACCCACGCACCCACCCACGCACCCACCCACCCACCCACCCACCCACCCACGCACCCACCCACCCACCCACCCACGCACCCACCCACCCACCCACCCACCCACCCACCCACCCACCCACCCACCCACCCACCCACCCACCCACCCACCCACCCACCCACCCACCCACCCACCCACCCACCCACCCACCCACCCACCCACCCACCCACCCACCCACCCACGCACGCACGCACGCACGCACCAACCCACCCACCCACCCACCCACCCACCCACCCACCCACCCACCCACCCACCCACCCACCCACCCACCCACCCACCCACCCACCCACCCACCCACCCACCCACCCACCCACCCACCCACCCACGCACCCACGACTGCCCGCATGCCTGCCCGCTTTTGCCTGCTCTTGCGCGCACCCACCTGGTGCAGCCCATCGACGTTCTGAGTGACAACGCACGAGAGCAGCCCCAGGTGCTGCAGGTCCCTCAGCGCCACGTGCGCTGGGTTGGGGCGCGCCGGGGCCAAGTCCGCCAGCAGTGCCCGCACCATCTCCCAAAACATCTCCGGCCTGGCCAATGGGGGAAGGGGGGGGGGGGAAGGAAGGGGAAAGGGAGGAAAAGGGGTCGGTTTGATTGTTTGGCTGCGGCGTGCCTGCCTGTGCTAAGGCCGACAGCAGCGCCCACACAATCTCCCAAAACATCTCTGGCCCGGTGCGAGGAGATGGGGGATGGGAGGAAGCGGGTTGAAAGAAAGGGAACGAGCAGCCGTGGGCGCGGGGAGGAGGGGAGAGGGAAGGGGGGAGAAGGGAGGAGTGGGGGGAAGGGAGAGGCAGAGGGAGGGGGTTTCACTGATCAATGGTGGCTGGGGAGGAAAGGAGGAGGGGAGGGCGGGGAGAAGGGAAGTCAACCGAATAGTTTCTCCCCTCACCATTATTTCCTTCCTTCCCTCTTTCCCCCTTTCCAGTATTCCCTCCCTTGTACTCCCTCCCCTCCCCTCCCCTCCCCTCCCCTCCCCTCCCCAAAAATCAGGGCAGAGGGCGCGCACTTGGTTTGGAAGACCGGGTAGCTGCAGTAGGTGGCGGGGTCGAAGCGCGCCCACAGCCCATGCGCACTGCGGAAGTCCGGAATGCCTGGGGGCCGGTGGCGGGGGGGGAAGGCGGTAGCGGTAGGGGTGGGGGTCGGGGGTGGGGGTCGGGGGTGGGGGTGGAGGGGAAGAGACAGGGGAGGGGATGGGGAAGCGGGTAGGAAGAGGGGAGGGGAAACGGGACAAGGGGAGGAGGGTGCGTGAAAGCATATTCGAATAGCACTGCTCAGTCAAGCAGCGCCACCTCCCCCAACCAGTCAACGGTACTTGAGAGACTGAACTATTCCTCTACGCTGCTGCGTGCCCTGCTATGCTGCAGCCCCAACTGAGTAACCGGAAATCCGCTTGCAGAGATTTCCCTCCTGTGCTGCTGCAAGCCCCACCAGCCGCACCAGCCGCACCAGCCGCACCTGACTCAACGGAGATCCCGGCGCCGGTGAACGCGACGACGCGCGTCGCGCGCGCCACGATCCCCGCGGCGCGCTGCACGTGGTCATCGGGCGACACGTCGTCGCCGTCCCACCGCAGCTGCTCGAACCGCATGCCCTCCATCGCGCCGCGCGCCACTTTTTGCCCCTCGCGCCGCGCACTCCCTCGCGCTCACTTTCGCGCTCCTCTCGCGCTTCTCTATCCAACTCACTATCCCTTTCGCTCTTTCTCTCTCGTCTGGCAGACTCTCACACACACACCAACTCCACCCTCCCCCCCCCTCAACTCCTCCCTCGTCCCTAAACTATCCGAGGTCTCTTGCGCCGACAATCACTGCTCGTTCGAGCTGCGACCCACCCCCCTCCTCCCTCCCCCCCTCCTCCTCCTCCTCCTCCCTCCCCCCCTCCTCCTCCTCCTCCTCCTCCTCCTCCTCCTCCTCCTCCTCCTCCTCCTCCTCCTCCTCCTCCTCCTCCTCCTCCTCCTCCTCCTCCTCCTCCTCCTCCTCCTCCTCCTCCTCCTCCTCCTCCTCCCTTTCCCCTCCCTTCTCTCTGCCAGCCAGCCTCGAAGCAGTCCGCGGGCAGCAGTCGTGAAGCGACCAGCAGCGAGCGCGCGCAGTGGCGAACGAGCAGCGCGCTGTGTGAACGACTCTTGTCGCGCGACAAGAGCTCGTTGCGGTACTGGTTCCTGTTGCTCGGTTGGGTGTGCAGCGCGTCGTGCGACGTGCGACGTGCGACGTGCGATGTGCGATGTGCGATGTGCGATGTGCGACGCAAGTCCCCAGCGATAGCCCGCCGTTCAGAGCAGTCGTTGGTGACTAGGGTGTTGGCAAAATGGTGAATAACATTCGACACTGCATGCACTTCTGTTACGGGTGCAATGGATCGAGGTAGCGAGGATTGCACTAATGTGTCAAACGAGTACAAACTGTGAGCGAAGGCATGAGCGAACATTTATACGCGAAACATGCAAACGGTAACGCGGCGTGTGCGAGCTAGCTAGTGCTATGCTGGCGCGAGGTTCGGGCTAGACCGAAGCGTAGGCCGACTCGGCTGCTCCAGCAGTGCGAGGTTTGGTGAAAACAGTGCGCGCGAAGTTGGCGAAGCCCTGTTAGCAGTAACGGGCGAACAACGGCTGTTGCTGTACGCGATGTTGCGGGCTGCGCTAAGGAATGTCGAGAAAATTCCTTACACTACCCCCCCCCCTCAAGAAGCCCCCTCCGCTACGCGAGTGCGTGTATATCGCGGAAACCCCGGCTCCTCAGGTACACTTGCAGGGCAGGGTGGTTTTCGATGTTGGCCAGGGGCACCCAGCTATCCTCAGTTGGCGTGCGGTCCTTCCAGCGAACGAGGAATTCAATCCTCCTGATTCCCGTGGGGTGTCGAATCCGATGGCTCATGATTTTTTCGGGCTCGATGATCGGCTCCGATGCAGGGCGAGTCATGGATGGCGGGCGGTGACGAGGCAGTTGACTTGTGGTTGGGATGTAGGGGCGAAGCAGGCTGACGTGGAATGATGGGCTGATGTACCAGTCTGTCAGCAACAGTAAGTGGGCTGTCACTGGGGTAATCATGTGGCTGATTTGGAATGGTCCACAGTAGCGGGGTCGTAATTTCGGTACGACGGGCAGTCTTAAGTTCTGTGTGTCGAGCAGTACGTAATCGCCTGACTGGTACGTGACTGGGCGGCGGTGGCGGTCAGCGTTGCGCTTAGCGATGACATTTGCTTTTTTGATTGCTTCAGCGGCTCTGGTGCGGGCAGCTTGCAGAATTTCGGCGAATTGCTGTGCACGTGGCGTTGGGTTGTCCGGACTCGGCGTCATGGGCACTGTAGGGTTTTGCCCGTAGTTAAGGTAGAATGGGGACTGCTGCGTCGTCGCTGACGTGGCGTTGTTGTACGCGAACTCAATCAGCGGCAGCTGCTGCTCCCAAGTTGTCGGGTCGTCGCACGTGGCACGAATCAACTGCTCCATCGTCTGATTCGTCCGCTCCGTTTGACCGTCGGTCTCGGGGTGGTACGACGAGCTGAACTGTAGCCTGGTCCCGAACTGCTCCCAGAGGTTATTCCAGAAATTGCTGGTGAACTTCGTGTCGCGGTCGCTGATTTTCGCGGCGGGTATCCCGTGTAGTCGAACGACGGTTGCGATGAACAGGCGAGCGGTTTCTTCGGCTGAGATCGATTTCTTGCACGCAGCGAAGTGAGCCATTTTCGTCAACCTGTCAACGACGACCATAACCGCGTCGTTACCCCCAGGGTTCGAAGGTAACCCTGTGACAAAATCTATGGTAACCTGCTGCCAGGCGCGCTCAGGCGGTGGAATCGGCTGCAACTGACCCGCCTTTCTCTTTCGCGAGCTCTTCATCACCTGGCACGTAGGACACGAGCCCACGTGGTGCTGTACGTCGGTCAACAGCTCCGGCCAGTAGTAATACTGCTGCAGTTGCTGTCGCGTTTTTTCTACCCCATAATGTCCCGAGGTAATTCCGTCGTGTGCCTCCTGCAGTAACAGTTCCCTCAGTAGTGAGTACGCGGGTACCCAAATGCGGTTGGTGCCTGTTTTTACGTAATAGACTCCTTTTGCTTCTGCCAGTTGCTGTGAATTTCCGGTCGTGAAAAATGGGTCGGTGCTGTATCCGTGGGTGAATAGGCCAGTTAGCAGTGGGTTGGTTTGGGCGAGTAGGATGTCGTGGAGTTGGGCGGTGGGGCGTGTGAGTGCGTCGGCGATGTTGGATGCACCTTTTTTGTACGTGACGGTGTAGTGGAAGTTGGACTCCAGATAGTCCAACCAGCGAATCTGTCGCGGGTTGAGATTCGGTTGGGCGCGAAGGTACTGTAGTGATCGGTGGTCTGTCCGTACTGTCACGTCTGCTCCCGTGAGGTAACATCGCCACACCTTGAACGCGTGCACGATCGCCAGCATCTCGCGGTCGTGTATCGGGTAGTTGCGTTCGGGTGGGTGAAGCTTGCAGGACTCGTACGCGATTGGCTGGAGGCCGTTCCCGAAGTCCTGTAACAGTACTGCTCCCACAGCGATGTCACTAGCGTCAGTGACGAGCTCGAACGGACGCCAATGTGAAGTACGGGCGGCGAGCACAAAATTTCTTTGAGGGCCGAGAAGGCAGCTTGCTCTTTCTCCCCCCACGTGTACTCAACCCCCTTCCTCAGCAGGTCGGTCAACGGGGCAGTCAACTTCGCCATGTCGGGGACGAACCGGCGCACGTAGTTGACGAACCCCAGAAAAATCTGTAACTCAGTCAAGTTTGTCGGCGCGTGCCATGCTTGAATCGTCGCGATTTTCTTCGGGTCTATTTCCACTCCTTCAGCTGAAATAATGTGTCCCAAAAACTCTAGGCGGTCCTGTAAAAACTCACACTTAGAAGCTTTGGTCAGTAGGCGGTTCTCCCTCAGTATTTTAAAAACTGCTTCGATGTCCTGTAAGTGCTGTGCGCGGTCGGGGCTGTAAATCAGTATGTCGTCAAGGTACACGATGACGCACTTCTCTAAAAGCGGGCGGAAAGCTTCGTTCATTGTCATTTGAAAAGTGGCGGGGGCGTTGGTCAGTCCGAAGGGCATGACGGTGTATTCGAAGGATCCGTAGCGTGTTCGGAAAGCTGTCTTGGGGCAGTCGGGTGGGTTGACGCGAATCTGGTGGTAACCTCCTCTAAGGTCGATTTTCGAGAAAACCCGGGCTGTGTGGAGTTGGTCGATCAGTTCGTCGGCTCGTGGGATGGGGTAACGGGACTTAATGGTAACCCTGTTCAGTGCTCTGTAATCTATGCACATGCGAAAACCCCCGTCCTTTTTCGGCGTGAACAGTATCGGTGCTGCGAAGGGCGACAAACTCGGGCGAATGAACTCTTTTTCGAGTAGATAATCCAGCTGCTTCCTCAGTTCGTCCAGTTCGGGTTGGGTCAGTCAGAACTGTCGCTGTACTGTCGGCTGTGCCCCCGGTTCTAGTTCTATCCTGTGGTCATGCGGTCGCTGAGGTGGCAGTCCCGTCGGCAGATCGTCCGGAAATATGTCACCGTACTGCTTCAGGAGTGCTGCCAGGTCATCCGGTACGTCGGCTAGCAGTTTCTGTAAATCCCCCCTTTTGTCTGCTGCTTCGACTTCCCGAATGTCAACCGCGTACACGTCAGCTCCTGCCGCTACGGCGCGCTTCATTGTGATCGCGTTGACACGCACCGACGGAGACTTGGGCAAGCCCCAGCGAGGTAAGGCGATGTTGTTACCGTTCACTCGCACAGTGCAGTCCCCCGTCGTCCAGTCGATTCGCGGATTGTGTCGTCGCAGCCAATCACGACCGAGTAAAATGTCGGTTCCGTCGAGGGTTGTCGCGAGCATTTCCTGGCTAAACGTGAAGCTACCCCCGCATCGAATCCGAACCCGGTCTACGCGTTCCCGTATCGCCAGTGGCGTGCCGTCAACCAGCCGTGCATCGATCTCAGGTAAGCATCTGTCCAGTGGCAGTTTCAGTTTCCGTGCTGTGGCAGTGTTGATAAGGCTGTGGCTGGCTCCCCCGTCTACGAAGATTTTAACTAAGTCTGTCCCGATTTTCCCACTAAGCAGTATGGGGCTGTCTACCGTAGTACCCTCCTTATTCGGCCGGGTGTGGTCGATTGCGTGATCCGGCACAATCACTCGGTGAGGGTCGGTTGGGTCGGGCGAGCGGCGTGACCTGTCAGTAGAGGGCCCGTCTGCTACTGACTCCCAGCGTTTCCCTGCTGCTTGGTCTGTCTCTGCTGCTCAGCTTCCCCCTTTCCCTTAACGTTTTCCGGGCATTCGCTCTTACGGTGTCCCGGCCGATTGCACGCGAAGCAGCGCCCTTTGAACGGTGCGGCAGCGGTATTCGCGGCGACGGCACGTATCGTAGCACCCTCGTTCGTCCCACGAGACCGATGTCCCCAGTTGCTGCTTCCGTAGGACCCCGGTCTCGGTCGGCGGAAGAAGTCGAGCTTCTCCGCCATGGCGAGAATCTCCTGGAAATCGGTGACGCCGCGAAGCTGGATTTCCTGAGCGATGTCGTGCTTCAGGCTGCCGATGTAGCGGTCAATGCGCTCGCTCTCGTGCATATAACCCACTTGCTCGCATAGCGCCAGAAACCCGCTCGTGTAGTCTTG